GCTTTGCGCGAAATTCAAAACAAACAAACTTTAAGCCATTTAGGATAAAATTATAGTTTCCTCCTGTTACAATCAGCAGTCATTCAAGGTAATTTAGATTTATTTCATATTTTTTTATGATTGTTACAAGGTCGGTAAAATTAACTAAGCTCATACAGAATTAGGATAGAGAAAATAACAGATAAAATATAATGTTTTATTAGAAAAAACGTTTGATATTTATTTGGGAGGTTTTGAAGGTTATACAAATCAAATTTGAAAATTTTCGGATGAATAACAGTATTTGTAATCTTAACAAATGTAAAATGCTTAATTTAAAAACCTGATTTTCGTGTACAAAAGACCTGTAATGTTTACTGAGTGTATGTGACAAAGGCCTTTGTCAATCTAAAGAATGTACTCAAACTAATGCTAGACATGACAGCTTTCAAAAACTTGATGAGAAAGAATCAAGATTGGATACCAGATTTTATGAAAGTTTGGCAAAGAAGATTATACTTTGTCAGTTTTGGAAGTGGCCATAAAAAAACAAAACATTTTATTGCTTGGTCAAACATTGGTTGTGTGTGGCATCTGTGCTGACAAAGAAGTGGTAGTGAAATACCTAACAGAATGATTTCTTGTAGCATAACAAATGATCTCTGATCATTTGGTTAGTGTAGCCAAAATAAGGATTTCTAAGGATCTTCAATTTGCTGCTGCAAACAGGCAGAGAGTACCATATCTACCTTGACAATGATAGGAAGAAAAAAAAACAGATTGGGGAAAATAGAAAAGTGGGTGATGGATAAAATTGATGGCCTGAAACTTAAGAAATGTAGGATTGAAAAAAATGCTGAAGTCAGAAAATGAGCTTAAGGTTACAGGCCAGTTGTTTTTTATATTCAAGTGGAAGGAAAAGAAGGCAGAGGTCAAGGCCTCAGAAGAAGAAAATTAGAAAAATATTAGGATTAGATAAATCCTATGCATGTGGTGTGTTTGAGTTATTGATAAGATATTGCATGCCATAGATGTTTGTAATGTGACTCTTGAAAATCTTAGTTTCATTTTTGTTTTGAAAGGGTGTGGCAAGAACATAGATTTTGTTTCTCTGAAATATGTGAACTCGTTAAAGGGATACCATAGTGAGTTCCAGATACAGTATTACATTTTTCATTATAATATCTCATTTTCACTCATAAAAACAATATATATATATATATATATACTAGTCCATGGCAAAGTTATGTTATCAGTGATGAAAAATTCCTGTTGTTATTCGGTATAAGATGCTATTCTCATGCAAATACAGTAAATATCTACTTGTTCATGGTTGAATTCTATTATCAGAAAAACAAGTACTTCATAAACCATTACTGCTTGTACATGATGAAATTTCATTGTTACGTGTACAGAAAGAATATCACCTTATTCATGATAAGATCTCATTCTCACTTGCACAAACAATATCAAGGTCTGATTCATACTTTAACATGCATATACACAAAAGTAATTTAAAGTCATTCTTCATTACAGATCTGTTATCTCAGTAGAGCTAATATCAGTTTGTTGCAATTAATTTTTTTTTATTCACAAACACGTGTACTTGATGATAATGAGTTTATTTCAGCACTCACAGACATACTGGTACTTATGATGCAATTTCATTCTTACTCACACAACCACTTCATTCATGATGAAGTTTTATTGTGTCTTACATTTAATTTCTACTCATGAATGAAAAGCAGTCCCTATTATGAATAAGTCCTATTATCACTCACACTAAAACTTTCCCGTAATGAGATCCCATTATCACTCACCTAATGTATTTATGTGTTCGTGATGAAGTGCTTTTCTCACTTAAACTAACAATCAGTATTTTCTTGTTCTTTATGAGTTATTTATAATACCAGCTTGTCTATGATGAAATCACTTCACAAATCACACAGTATCTGTGTGTTAGATGAGATTCTGCACATTTCTTGATTAGTTCTTGTTCTTACTCAAATAATATGTCTTTGTCTGTGATGAGATCCTTTCAAAAGTCACATTATATCTGTATGTTAATGATGAGTCCTTTTTCTCACTTAATATATACTTGTCTATGATGAACTCACTTCACAAATCACATGATACCTGTGTGTTGATGATAAGATTCTACATGGTTCTTGATGAGATTTTTTTGTTACTTACACAAAGATTATTTCTGTGTTTATAATTTTGTCTCATCCTCAGTGAAACAGTTCTTACTTGCTCATAATGTGTTTGTATTATCACTCATAGAAACAGTTTCTGCTTGTTCACAATGAGATCTTGTTTTCACTCATGGAAACAGTTTCTACTTGTTCATAATGAGGTCTTTTTCTTACTCATAAAATCAATTTTTGCATGTTCATGATGAGGTCTTGTTCTTACCTATGGAATCATCTTCTACTTTATCATGATGAAATTTTGTTTTCATTTGCCGAAACAGCATATGCATGTGTACTTCTAAATTTAGTTCTTATTCTCTTTATTCAAGTCACTCTTATATAAAACTCTTTAGGAATATTCTTAGATTGGTATTATTTAAATTAACAGTAGTTAAATTTTTTTTCTAGGATGGTATGCTACCTCTAATTTCAACTCTTCCTATCCACAATATTCGATTCTTGCTGACAGAACCTGTATATCGACAACAGCACATCTGCTCCAATCTTCTTATACCAGTTTTACCTAGTAATGAACCAGAAGGTTCATTAAACTATGGATTTTTGGAGCCTTTGGGTGAGTAACTTTCACATCCTTCTTTGTTTTAGCAGTTTGTCTTAAGGTTCTTTAAGTAAGACATTTTTTGAAGACACTGAATAAGTACAGTCCTCAGGTACTTGTTTTTTATAAAAGTTTATCATGTAAGTTTAATGCTACTGGGTTAGTAAAATGTTGAAACATTATTAATTATGTAATGCTTAGTGGTAAGTCTCAAGGTTTATACACTAAAATCTGGATTTGGATACTATAATGGGCAAAGTACAGATAGCCCATTGTGTAGGTTTGAGCTTAACAACAAACAAACAAGTAAAACAGATAAGCTCATCATCATTTGGAGGTGTAACAAAAAATAGTTTAGACTGTGTCTTCCAAAGATCCAGAAAATAGTTTCATGGAATAGCTGGTCTTTGGATTAAGCAGCATAGTGGTTCATTCTCAGTCATGATGGCCAGCAACTCAATCTCATTAAGTATTTAGGCCCTGAAGAGCTATGGATTTGAAAATTTGTAATGGTAGAGCTGTAAAGGAGATTTAATCCCATGAAAAATATAGCAATTTATAGCACTGAATTTAAGTCTGTAGGGCATGTCCCAATAAAAGTTTTGACTGATTTCATGGAAGATTTGTATTGTCTTCAAGGCATATCCAAGCATGGAAGTAGCAGACCATGAAGATATCTTTGTGAATAAGTTTACTGAGGTTTTGCCAAGTGAATAGATGACATATGTGTCAGAGATTTGGTGCCTAACAAAAGTTGTATCAGCTGCTATACAATTTGAAGTAGTAACTTTGAACAAGCGGGCAAGCTCTGAATGCATTTCAGACATGGAAACTCTTCAAAAAAGGCTGGAATAAGGTGAAAGCCAGTCTAGTGTGAGTGTCACCAAGCATCACAGTTTAGCCTGGTTGGATGCAGTCTAGTAGACTGATACATATATAACTTGTTTTTCAGGCTAGACCACTGATATACTCAGAGTACCACCCAGGCCTTTGTTCTGGCTGGGAGAGTTGAAACAATGGTTTTTGCTGTTAACAACTAGCATATTGAGTATTGAAAGTGTAAAAGAGGAACTGCCTATTTTCCATGATTTATTATGATGAGACTTAATATTGCTTCTACTGTAACTGTTAAATAGCAACAAGAAGGAAGAAGATATAATATGGCAACAGAAGCTCCAGCTAGGTTAAACTTATAGATTTCCTTTCTGGTATTGCCAACCACCTCAGATGGTATGGCGATCAGTCTCTTTCCAAACGTATGGTGTCCAGTATGATGCACATGACCAAACAGAGTATGGTATGTTCCACTGTAAATACATATAAACAAAGTTGTATATCTTTCATATATAGAAGCTTCAAAGAATAAAGTTTTACAATTTACCAAACACAGTTAGTTAACTCCTTTCTTATAGACACCCTTTTCTGCACATGTAACGAGATTTTACTTAGTTACATTCAAAAGTAAATTAAGCTATATTATGATAAATGTTTGCCAATGAAACCAACATTAAAATTTACATTATCATTCAAAGTTTTAATTCCTTTATTTCGAAAGAAAAATTATTGAAGTTCAGTTTTGTTTTCACATGATCCACAAGTTCACAAAACGTTCAGTTTATGTCTTAGTAATTTGAGAATGCCCTCCTATACACTATACTTCTATGTATAGAGAAGAAACTAGGTTAATTACCCTGTTTGCACATTCTTCTTTCAAGCTCCTTTGGGCACATTGAGAGAAAGGAGAAATAAATTTTTCTGAACTCTTCGACAGATGCCACACCCATTTTCTACACATAGAGTTGCGATTTCTCAGTTGAACTAGATTTTTATAACCAGTAGAAAGATTGCATTTTAAGTATGATCTCCCAATAGTTATTTTAAAATTGGCATGAAGAATTTCATAGAGAACTAGTCAAACTGCTCTTAGCATTGTTGCTGCTTATGTCTTTGCTAACACTTTAGCATTGTTTGTCAGTCAAGAAAATGATGATAATTATCAACGATTTCAGGAAGGTAAAAAAAATTAATTATATACAGTTAATTCATATTGGTCAAGTTTAGTTTGTATAATGTGTACATTAGCATAAGGCTTGACTTTTTGAATAACCTGTCTTTCTTATATTAAGATCAATGCTGGATTTTAAAAAAATTAATGTGCTAGAATTGATTATTGGAATTTAATGTAAATATTACTTTAATTGTTACGATTATTGGTTTGGAAAGAGATGTTAATGAAAATCACTTAATTTTGCTGTTTGATAACAAATAATTACAGTGTCCTAATTATTGAAATTAGAGTTTAATATTACTGAAATAAGTTGATTTTTACCCTTAATATGTGTTTGGAGGCCATCCTGGAGGTGATTGCTGAGTTCAATTTCCTTGTTACTATGATGACCTATATTAAGTACTTTTTTGTTTTCTTTAGCATACAAGAACAAACAGCTTCAAGGCCCTGGATTCAACCGACCATACCAGTTTGATCAAAATTTACGAGCAGCTAAAAGCCTGTCTCTATACCAGCACTTAGACCTGAAGAGTTGTGTGTGGACATTTGATGCTTGGTATCACATGACAGAACTGATAGACCTGTGTGGAGGCTCTGTGACATCAGATTTTCAGGCAAGTCTTTTATATGCTATATATTTCACTAACCAAAAACTCAATTTCTATAATCTACTTTAATAGTCATATTAATATTTAACATACAAAGATTATTTAACTCCTCACAGTTAATAATATGTAGGAAATATTTGGTAAATGAACCATTTCATTGTTAAGCATTTATATAAAATCAGGGTTAATATTGTAAACAGTTTCTCCCAAACATTTTACATTTATTTTGCAAGTATTTTTATTTCCAATTACACTCTTCTTGCTGAAAGAATGGTATATGTGTGTGTGAACATCATTTGTTATAATTTTTTAAAGCCCAATCATTTTATTTAATTCTTAATTAAAAACATAAAAAATACCTGAAATACTGTAGTTAATCTTTTTCTTATTGCTGTTAGTACAACACTAAACTTATCGACTATCTCAGTCCTATAAACTGAGCAATCTGTGACTTCTAACATTTATCTTACTATTAATCCCATAAAGGATTCAGTATTGTGTAAGTCTAAAGGGATTTCTTGCACATAATTCTGATCTTTTACAACTAATGTAGATGCGAGATTCAGCACAGAGTTATCTGACTGTGGAACTTCCACTTCATGTGTCATACATTTATGCTACAGCACCTACCGGTTGGGCCTCTATAGAACATCGTACAGAAATGGAATTTTCCTTCTTTTATAATACTGTCCTTTGGCGTACTGGTTTAGAAACAGATGGCATTTTAAGAGCCAGATTGCAAATTTTGCGTATATCAGTTGGAGCTGATGGCCGGTTAATCCTAGAATTCAAAACTGAGGCTAAATTTAGAGGTAAGAAGAAAGTTTAGTCATTGAAAATATTAAATAATAAACACATTACTGTCCCCTTTAGAAGTATATTTTAATAATAAACATAACTGTTTGACCCCTATTCAAACAACATATAAATATTATTAGTATTTTTTAAAGATGTTTATTTTGTCTTTCTATGCTTACTTAGAAATAGTAGAGGGTTCATTATTTACTCAACAAAAAAACAGTAAATATGATATTAATCCTGTGAATTAGATTCAATGAAATTATACAGTTATTTGTTTTCCACCACATATGGATATGTAGGCCAGAATAAGCAGATGAATTCTGCATGTACTGAGCCACCTTCATAAGTGAACATGTATAAATAACATGTTCTGAGGTAGTGGCATCTTTCTAATGGTTACCTACAAATGAAAAAAGCTAAATATAGTTTTTACAAGAGATTGTTAGTAATTTGGGCATGTAATGTAATTAACTTAATAGTGTGTGTGTGCTGTGATTGCTACTCGTCCAGATTTCTATTGTTGTCAGCTCAGTTGTTCATGTTCGATTATTAAGCAGTTTCTGTAAGTAAATATCAAGTCACTATTTTATTTCATCAGTCTCTAACATTTAATCTCAGTTTGTGTTGGCTATGTTAACTTCCAATGTTGGTTATGGAATCATCACAGTTTCTTATAACATGGGCCTGCTACTTGCTTCTGCTGTAGTTCAACAATAATCCACTGTAAAGTCTTTTGTTGCTACATCTTCCACTCTTACGTGGCCAGTCTGTTAATACTAAGTACTGTATTAGCCTTGCCTTATGATCTTCTCTCTACTTTTGTTTCAGTAATGATTTTCTGATGATACTGGTCACTAGTTTTAAACTTCCATCACCCAACCACACAAAACACTTTTCTACTTTTTGGTTGATTGTATTACAACTGCTACATGTTATTTGAACATACATGTACATCTTTTAGTTAATTTAGAAATTGGACCTGGGATACAGCTTGGAAATGCTAACTCAAAAGCTGATAGCCAAAAAAGATAAAATGTTTCCCATGTGTTTTAATGATGAACTGAAATGCCAAGTGATTTTTACTTTTCTTCCTAATTAATTTTGTATTTTATATTTACTGAAATTTGTTTATATTTAAAATGACACTGATTGTAAAATAATTGTAAGTTGCATTATGCAACATAATATAATGTCCAATTTTTTTGCATATTCTTGTGTAAGATTGAATAATACTCTTTGCAGCATTATTTTACATTGTTAATATTAATTCATATTCCACATTAATAGATCTAAGGTCTAGTAAATTTAGATACAACCAACCTATTTGCCATGATAAAAAAAAATTGTATCTGACAGGAAGTCATTATTCAAAGGATCAATGACCAGAAGACAAACAACTTAGTTCAAGCTGTGCCAGTTGCTATTGCCAAGGCTTGAGCATAATGGTTTATATACTGTATAGGTAATTAGATGACGTAGCAAATTGGTATAATAATAATTATGATGTATAACAGTTCAATAAAGATAACTTAAAATTATTTTGATTGTTTTATGTAAAATAGATTATGCATTGATCATATTTATTTAATAAAACATACATGTATCACATTTTTATTTGATACATGTAAAATTTCACAAATTGACACCAAATTTATTTAATAAAAAATCTTCCATTATTGTTTTGCACATTTAACAGGGTTGCTTTAAGTGTTGGTGAGTCTGGCAGATGTGATATCAGGAAATGGTTTGTTGTTCATTTTCAGCATGCGAAAGTAAGGTCAGGTGTTTAGGTTTTCCCTTTTGTTGAGGCATTGTGAGACAGAATCTATCTTTGTACAAAAATGTAAGTGGTTTATTCTTTGATACGTGTCATATTTATACAGCAAGCCACAAATTAACTACTCACTGGGAGAATTACTTACATCATACATCATCTGATATCTTGAGAAAACACTTATTCTGGCTGTGGATTAGCTGGTGAGGGTTTTTCCAGCTTGCATCGTGGTTTCATTTTCATGACCAATTGCACACTACTTATCAAAACACTCACGTGTTAAATGGTATAATCAAGCATTAACTGCTGTTGAAATTGGTAATTTTTTCTTATCACATTGAATAATCGAGGTAGAGATATTCATATTTTGAAGAATATAACATAAAATATGAAAATTTCCCTGCCTTTGTGTTCATTTTAATTGTGTGGTGTGGCATCTAATCACTCACCCTTTGTGGACATCAACAAACTACAGTTGAATCATTATCGATGTTTATATGTTTTTATTGAAATGAAGAAAGGTCTCTAAAGAGAGGTCATTATCGAACCTTCCATTGAAAAATCATGGCCGTATGTCACATCTTTCAGGAAGTCCTTTGTAGGAGGTGTAAAATCATTCCATGCACAGAAAAAAAGTCTTAGCTAAAAGAAAGTCATTATTGGAAGGGATCATATCAACTAGGGACTACTGTAACTGATTCTAAAAAATGTACTAGACCTTGAATCTATAACAAGCAACAACACTGCTAGTGTTTAGTGACTGATTCTAAATACATATCCTTTGTACATGTATTATTACTAATATAAATCATGGTATACCATTGTTTTTTATTGCTTTAGACACTCATAATTTCAACAACCTGTTCAAAGTGAAATAATATTAAATCTCTCTAGCCAGTTTACTCCTGTTTCATTACTATTCTAAATCAGGAATACCACACTGCTGGTGTAATGTTTTTCACAAAGATTTAGGACTCCTGAGCTTTTTCATGCTTCTTTAAATACCCTAGCATGGGAGGTAAATGACAATTCTGAAATAAATACAGATGTGTGAAACTGTCAGTAAGTCTAAATGGAAGCTCCAACATGTGATGATAGTGATATTTTTTCTCCAAATAATGTTATTCAATATAAATTAAGATGCAATGTTTGTAGATAGGTCATATTATCTAATATTCCAGATTTTCTAGTTGAGTCAGCCTTTGAATGGTTTATGTCAAAATACATATTTCCAAGAAACATTTTCTCAGTTAGCAATGAGGTTATTGTCTTGTCAGAAAATGAGAAATCCATTATTTATTTGTTTTTAGACTTTCCCATTATTTGGTGAGTAAATGGCTAACAAAGTAGGATCCATTTTATATTGCACCATTAAACAATATTATAAAAAAAATCAATTTGGAGACAGATTTTTAGACACGTGAGATATGTAATATTTGCATACTACAAGATTTATGCCATGATTTTTCATTTTTACATAGAGTATGATTGTCATGAAGTGGTTTCTTGGTAATCAGAAAAAAGTGCCAGTTTGATATTTGATAATAAACTGTGAATATGGCTAAGTGGCAGATTAATAAAGCAAACCAGGTATCTAAAAAAATCATGGAGAAGGGAGAAAGTGATTATGATGTTTCTGAGTGAATATATCTTCTCTGTTTTGATTTATCATATAAAATTTTTACATGCGTTAATACATATCGTATTGTTCACTTTGCATAGGACTTTTTTCTCACTTAGCATCCATATGTTACCATGAAGTAGGATTGAGAAAAGTATTTTTAATCATATAGATTTAGCCAATCAGAAGGTGATGACAGGATTTTAAAGCAATGTAAGAACTTAAAAACTATGAACAGTAATAACATTTTTCTCTATTTGCTTTCAGAAAGAGGGATCTCTGAGACATTTTGAAGTTTAATTTTATAATTTTTTCTTGTTCAAATTTGAAGTAGTTTCTTTCATTTAGACAAGTCAGTTGGATACATTAGGATTAAGTTGCAGGAGAAAATAGTTAATTAGTAATATAAAGTAATGACCACCTTGACTTGAATATAAGCAGATAATAAGCTATTTTCAAATATATTAGTTAACCAACAGTCTACTTTCTTGGGTGGTAGAAGTTTCTCTTCTTTTTTTGTCTAACACATTCTTGTGCAGGACTCTAAAGTTTTGTCACAAAGACTGTTGCTAAATAGAGATTTTGCAGTGAAGAGTTTTTACCTTGATGCTGTACAAACTTAGGCTACTATCATTCTTGTTTATCTTCCATATTCACTCATCTTATTACTTCTGTCTCTTGAAAAATACTCATATGTGAACTCTTTATCAGGCTGTATGCAGTCAAGGAAGAGTTGTTATCTAATCTGTAATAAGACTTATATTTTTTACAAATTATTAAAACATTGAAATAATAAAGTTCTTAAATTTTATAGGCCAGTTTGTCATGAAACATCATACATTACCTGGTGTGGAAAGTGGTGTGTTACCACCAGATACATTGGTTATTACTTTTGATTTGGAGCTTATTTGGACGGAATCTACGTTTGATGGCCCATCACAACTGTGGAGGGCCACAAGCAACTATAACTTAAAGGTGAGATTCTTCTGATTCTATTTGTGTTTGTTCTCACACATGCTGAATAGCTATATCAATTAAAAAAATGTAGTTAACATTATTCACACGTTTCCTATTACAGTAAGATCTACCCAATCTAACTCTAATTATTAATAGATCTTTATTCTGACAAATATATCATTTAATGATTCCATGTATGGTAAAACTGTAAGTTTTATTCAAGGATATGCTTATTATCATGTATGAATGCTGAGTTTGTTAATTTCCTAAGCTAACCTTGGTGAGTTACTGAAATCATGATTATTTTGAAATACTGAGTTATTGAAATTTAGTTTCATCTATGTTGATTAGACAAGTATTGTAAGTGAAGAGACATTTGTAGAGCTTAATGATTGTAATTTTATCCTTAATCAAAGTCAGAACTCTCATATTTGCCTTGTTTTACATTATGTGTAGTTGTAAAAAATTAATTTGGGCTTCATACTTTGCCGATGTCTTCAAACAGTATTCATGACATAGACAGTGATAACTATCTTCGAATAATGTCATTCTTTCTAAGTTTTCACATACTACTTTGCTCATGGTTAATAAAGTATTTCTATTTGTAAAACAGACTCTTTTATTTGTTGATTGAGCCATTATCAACTCAAGTTTGCATAACATATTAGTTCAAATCTCCTAAGGCTGGGCATGACCTAGTGGTTAAAATGCCATACTGTGAATCTGAGGGCCTACAGCTTGCATCCCATTTCAACAAATTAGTGTTTCATTCTTTTGGGATGTCAAACCCCACTATTGGATTAGAGTAGCCTAAGAATTGACATTGGGTACTGTTGATTGGCTTCCTTCTGTCTAGTCTATTGAGTTCAAAATTAGGGATAGAAAACCCTTGTGTATCTTTGCTTGAATATCTGAAAAAAAACAAAAAACTGGTCTTCTGTTATTGTGGTAAGATAGCTTACCTATTGGTTTTTAAGTTTTACATCAGAATACTACCACATTAAGTTGTTCAAAACAGTTTTGTGCCTGTAATTGCACCCTGAGTCACATTCCTTTGTCAGACCAGCTGATTACAAGTAGATTGGAAATGTAGTTGGAAATAAATTCTGCCTGCTAGTACTAACCTACTGCTGGGGAACATGACATGTATCTTGACAATAGATTAGACACCATGACAGCTTCTTGAAGAGGAAGAGCAGTCTACTGAAGCCAGAGGTCATTTGAGCAGAACTACCTTAACATGTTTACTATGGTAACATACTGTTCCATCAGCCTTTATGATACCAAGTTTGAAATAATTATATCCAACAAATTTCCTGAAAGGAGAAGTTTGCAGCTATAGATGCAGTAGGGACTGCCTACACCCAATCATGTATCTCACAAGGTTAAAGATCAGCCACAAAATCTGCCTTCACAAGCAACACCATGTGTCATGGTACTAACTCATTAGTTTACATTGGTTAACCTGAACTTCCCAATGGCTGCACTGCTGTGATATCTGATATCTTTTAAATTCTGTTTTATGCATTTTCAACTAATAAGAACCTGAAGCAATTGTAAAATTTCCTCAAATTTTCTAGTTGCTTCATGATGTAAAAATGTTCCAAAATATTTGGACAACTTATATCTTTAATTATTCAATATTATTATTTAGTATATCATATTCACACAACACACACAAGTAAAATAATTTATCATTTATTTAAAAGAAATTATATTTATTAGATACAAATTATTCTTGACAAGAATATTGTGAGAAAAAATCATGATACCTAGCTTGACAAGGTGATTGACATATGACATCCAATATGCAGATGTGTTTCTCCTGGCCATATTCCTACAGAGACATAGAGTGGTGTGTGGTGTGTATGGTGCTCAGAAGAGAAACCAACCATGTCAGAGTAATTGAGGTTGAGACTTGTAGGTTCCTCATTGTATATCAGACATCACTGTAGCCCTTCCAGAGACAAATAATGGTAATTGATGTGTGCTAAGACATTTACAGATAGTGTAGATAAATAGTAGATAACATATTTTGCAGTACTTGGAGAAACATTTTACCAATCAGCAATGAGCTGAGTTTGGTGAATGCAGCCTGATGGTTTAAATGAAATAGCTGTGCTTATCTTTCAAGCATATACTTGTAGAGTTTGTGAGTCTGGATATAACCGACTAGAATGATCACCTACTGTATGTAATGAGTGCATACAAAGCAACATAGCAACAGTCTACTCACTTTTCACCAAATCTACTAATGCTAACATTTGGATATGAACTACCACAGTCCTCTGTTGGCAATTTATGGTATATCATTCTTTATAACTGTTTCATAATGTCCATAGGAATATGTAGAATGTTTAAGGCCCACAGTAATTGACATACAGAAATTTGCATCTTTAATATACAAGATATCAAACAGTTTTTCATAGGTTATTAACAGATAAACATGTGGAAATCATTGTAGTATAACAGCTAGGATTGTTGATGGTGTTAGATACATTAGAACATTAACAGCTCAAATAGTTGATGAAGATCATTAAGATATGTGGCATATCTGAAAGCTGAAAGAATTTGCAATGCTTGCTTTATAGTGAACATTGTTAATTGCTACCTGAGATTATTTTAGTGTCTGTTTTCGTGATTTATCATGTTGATACATACAAGGAATACCTAAGAGTAAGATAAGCCTGTTCTCCAGCTGTACAGTGTTGGGATTGTGCCTTTAAATTGCTTGAGAAATAACCCAGGCTGTGATAAATCAGTGGAAACTTCCTAGTTTCATAATTTTTTCCTGTTATTTTTCTCATATGTCAACAGAAATGAGTTTTTTTATCCATAGGTTGTGATACAGTTACAGACAGTAAAAATAATGATCAGGCCTTGCAAGTCATAGGGGTGAATTTTTGGTTCTTTTGGATTTTACGTTGATTAGTGTTCTGTGATATCAATAGTCATAGGTGACAATACTGTATCCAAAAACACTGTACAAATTACTTTTGTCTACTGTATCAATCATTGTTCAGTTAGAGATTTGTAACAGGTGTGTACATTAATTGAATGTGTTATTTTGTTGCATATGTGTGTGTGTGTATATATATATATATATATATGATAATAGAAATATTATTTTTACATCACATATAAATGTATGTTGTAAATTAATTAACACACACACACACACAAATATATATATAATCTACATTGTTATTGGTGTTGCCAGAAAATATCTCGTGCTTTTAGATAAAATAAGATTGTTATTTTAGCTTACCCTACATCAAGGGTGTGTGATGTACCCCATGTTTATATTGTTGTTGGTGTAGAGTATGTTTGGAAGAAGTGAAACTGCTGATTATTAACTTATGTCACACCAAACTAAAGCATGATATACCCTATGTCTTCATTGATGTATTAATAATCTCATAGGTACTGCTGAATATTCATTAAGATACCAGGGCTAAAGGGGGGGGGGGATGCTTGAAAAACCATTGACTTTATGTCTATAGTTCTTCTTAATATCTTACATGATTAGTGCTCTGCCATGATAACCAGTCTGTGGAATATTGCTTGTGTACATATGAGCATGCAGTAGATAATCTAGCTTGAGAAAGTTGCAATCATTAGGCAGTGATCATGCAGTGAGTTTGTTAACAGTGTTAAATTTAGACAGCCTAATTTTAACAGTTTAGTAAGTAGTGAAGCGTCTGTTTGTATGAAAACTTATTAGAGACTAAGTGATTATTGCTGAACCACCTCTTTCTCACAGAATATAAGTTCTCAACCATTCTAACCATCTGTTTGTCTTACATCACTGTACATTGTTTAATTTTGTGAGAGAGAGAGATTCTACAGTCACAACAGCCTATTGATGGACAGTGAATTTGAGGACGTCCTCAAGTGTCTAATAACAATGTTTCCTTCAGGTGACAGTAGTAGGAAGAAGAACCCATAAAACAGGACCCAATACTTGATATGCATGTCATCAAGATGCATGCACTTGTTATTGATACACCACCATTTACCAGAAAGAATGACCTTCTACTAACTATTTTACTACTGAGTAGTGTTTTGCCTGTAATTATTGCAGAAGAACCAAAACCAAGACTGCCAAAAATAGCACTGTTAGCTACTAGTGAAATGTTTCCTTAAAGAATGCAGCATGTTGAGGTGCAAAAATAATGATATATATATGCACACACGTGAACTTAAGAAAGTTTACTAAGGGCCAAAATACCTAAGTACCAAAATAAATCATCATAAGGAACCACAGAATCAACAATAGAAATCAACAAAATTGATGCCCTATTATCCACTCCAGCCAAACAATACAGCACATCTACCAGGCTATTGTGGTTACTGGTTTCTATGCTCAAGATCATTCAGGTGGACCTCAACGTTGTGACAGGTGCATTGGAGACTCCACTCATAGGCCCAGGTTGCACAACAGACTGAAGCCTAAGCCCTCTAACAGAAAGAAAAAATATCATTGTTGGTTTCTAGGAGATCAATTGAAAGAAAAGCAGAGACATTTTTTAAAAAGTAAATGAGGCCCTTCACAGGATGTTGACAAAGTTTTCAGTTGCCATAGAAAATGTTCTTTCCATCGTACTTGAAATGAAGGGTCTTTGGTTTAATAGGCTGTGTAGACATGTTACCTACGTGTTGTGATGTAAAATATTGTAAATATATGTAGTCAGACTACTGGAAATTTCTAGGATGCTTGATTTTTTTTTTGTTGTTGTTATGAGTTAATGTGTTTTTTCTTTATTATGTATTTTTTCCTATGAGTTTATATTTCATGTATTACAGTTTTCACCCAGTGAATTAAGGCTCATTATTTTTGGTATTATAAAATGTAACTGTTGCTTACTTATGTTAGTGTTATTGCTACCATAGATTTTTCTCTTTATTATTTCCTTAGTACTATGTAACTATAATGATTTATATTTTATTTATGACTGCTTTAGAAAATGCTTCTTACTGAATTGAGTGCCTTTCTATAAATTTTGCACTTCACAGTAATTTATCTGTTTACAGATGCTATCAGTATTCAACACTTCAGTTTAACTTTGATGAACCCCCTTTCTTTGCTTGTTTGGATCAGTTTAAATGTGATGTTTAATTGGAATTTTATTCCTGTTGTAATCTTTTGACTGGGGCTTAAAAAATAGCTTAGACATTGTATCTTAACCCTAAGCAAATCAAAACTTTCAAACACATCTTGGTTCTTGTCTTGTGAATTTGTAAAGAATTACATTGGTCTTTGTACTGCATTTTTGTGTAGTCTTCAGTAGTATAAAAAATATATTGAAATTATCTCAAGCATTTCATGTCCCAGTTTCTTCACGATAAATAACTTTTGTTTTATTTGAAACACATTTGTGTCACTCACATTATTTTTAGTCAAATCATTCTTAATTCATATCTTGCTTAACAATTTAACTCGTATCTCATGTTATTATGGTTAGATAGCTTACATATTGGATTTAAGTGTTATCTTAGAACTAGCCATAACATCATTTATTTGAGTCTTTGAAAAGAATACCTATCTAGCCTTACTCTAATTATCAGCAGAAGATAGTTAATGATTTTTATTTTACAAGATCTACATCATTTATTTGACTTCTTTTACTGTAAATCTTACCAAGTCTTATGCTTATTCTCCAGATAAATATATATAATCTTGCTCTAATTATGAACAACATCTTGTTCAATGTTTTTAGGATTATACAGGACAATACATCATCCAGTTGATTCCTTGTACTGTAAAACCTACCCAGTCTTATGCTTCATCCCCAGATAAACCACTTGTTTGCACTGCACATCTACCAGAAAGGTAATTTTTTTTCTTTAATAATTATTCACACTGACTGTTGAAAAGACAAGCTTTGAATTGATGAATTTATAGATATATAAACTTCTAATAATTGTATACAAATTACTTAACAAAAAAATGCTTCAACTCTATAGCTCCAGCAGTAAAATAAATGTTTTCAATGAGTTTTTGTAAGAAATTGAAATGATATGTTTAAAATGTGAGATATACTAGAGTACATGACTACCGATGTTGTTGGTAAGTTGTATTGAGTCTGAAATGGTGACTTATTATTTGAATAATTTTTATTAGTCATTTATTTAGTAATCAGTGCATGATTTTGTGAGTTTAGTCATTACTGTCACTGCCTGTCAGCCAATATGTTTATATTTCAGTACTGTAAATTTTTAGTTTGTATATGTGATGAAGTACAAGATATGAATGTTTGTAAGAAAGTGGAATTTTTGTTTATACATTGTTTATTCGTGATGTTAGGCTTATTGTTAGTTACATAAAACCTTAGAAATATAATTATTCTGATATTGTTAAATTTGCTGAATTTTACATTCATCCTTTTACCAAATAATCAGAAAGAACCCACCCAACAATAAAAAACATTATAACAGTTATTTTCATGAATGAACATGTTAAAAGATTATTGAACTCTTTTTTTTTTCTCTCTCTTTCTCTCTCTAGTTTAAGCACATTTATATGCTGGACTTAGTTAAGTTCTGGCTTTTATAGGTGGCTCTGTCTGTCATTGGTCTTAGTTAGGATTTTAAAGTAATATTAATGGATGACTATGTCATATTCACCTGTGGGATTTTCCACTACACACAGTTTATTAGTGTCCTTAAATCTGTATGTTCTTTAACAACAGTATACTACTTACAACTGAACAGATGTAGGTTTGTGTTTGATAAGAACAAGTTAATTGATGAACCATATTTTCTCTCGGTTGGTGATATTTTGATTTTATGTCTAAAACAATATAGCAAATGAAATATTGAATTGAAAATACATTTAAATTTTCTGTGGGTCCACTTTATAAAGAAGGGTATGCAGTTGCTTTTCACACATAAGGCATACTTACAAATATAAAAGAAAACAGTAGATATTGAATATTTTTGAACTTTATAGATTTTATGGTTTTATAAAGTTTCATTTATTCAAATAGCCATAGATTATCCTATCTATGAGATGGATAAGAAAAACCATTCTTGCATAAATACTTGATGTTAACAAACACGTAGGTAGGAATTCATAAATATTTAAGATTTGCTATGCATGACAAATGAGATCATAATCAAATTCTCCATAAACAATATTTGTGTGTTACTTGCAAGATTGAACAGTTTTTTTTATAACTTCCCGAAGTTACAATCACAATTATGGATCAACTAGCAGATGCCCGTTGAAACAATTCAATTGTAAGTTCCCTAGAAATAGTGGTGAATAAATATAAAATGTGCAGTCAACCCAATCCCTTGGATCAGATTGTATATACAATATGATTGTCTGGTGGGCTGTTTATGACTGTCTTTTGTCATTCCATGTGCTAATTCAATAAGAAAATTTCATTGCATTTATTTATAAGTGAAGGAGACTGAATATAATTCCTTTTTTGGTAAAAATCTTTGTTTTTTTTTATGCAATGGGTGCATCCAGCACATTAGTGTGCTCAGCTTCACTAAGTAACTGCTGAGCTTTTTTCTGCTGGATGCTACTGTTCCTTGTTATTTTAATGAGTGCAAGGAAAGACTACAAGAAGTGTCAGATGGGAGATATTCAATTCAAATCAGTTTATTCATGCACGTATATAATACCGACATTAAAGAAAAACAACAACAAATATATAGTGAAACATGCTCCTCTTTTTTATGTGTTTTTTGCATCCATGCTAATGAATCGATGTAGGAAGTCCCTTTTTTTTTTGTGAAATTCCCTCAAAAAAACATTTTTGTTCTTAATAAGTTTTTTCTCAGATTGACTGTTCAGTGCTTACAAAAACTGATGGATCGATGTTGATATTCATATTAAATTTTAGGAATTGCAAAAAATGAATAATTTTTCTGTAATGTACTCATGAAAATATGCATTTTTTTCCAATAATTAACTGTTCAGGAAATACACAGCATGACAAACAGACATTTGGCTCTTATATATATATATATATATATATAT